TGGCTGGTACAACCCCTCAGGCAAGGGGTAGCTTAGTCACTCTCTGATCACATGTCACTTTCAAAACATTCCTTGTTTTTCACCATGTGAATGCATATATCAGAGCTATATTTGTGCTGAAGTAGTCAAACTGGGAAAAAAAAAGGTTACCTCATGTCATCGTATAGAGGAGATGATCTTAGTCTTGAGAATCACTTTCAGTGAAAAGAATGAACTTTGAATCTATGACTTAGACACTTGTTGAAATATTCATGCTCTCTTTTATAAACAGCAGGAGGTCAGATTGTGGGTGTTGCTGCTTTGAATCACAGGACCAGCGGGCTGACAGCAACAGCCTTCTTAATGAATGCTGGTGACTTATGTATGTATGCCCAGTGAGATATGAGGAGTCGAGATGGCTCGGCCCGTTTTCCAAAGGCTTACGAGTACACTTTCATGTTCAAACTACAGAGCCGCTGAGTTTCTGCTGGTAAGGTCTTTGTCTCTGAGCAACTGTCAAGCTCACTGAGGGGAGCCAAACATGTACAGGAGAAAGAAATTAAATCACTTGTGCCAAATTAACTAAGCTACAGATGAATTAAACATGAATATCTCTCTTTAGTTAGAAATCCACAGAGGGGCACACTTACTACTGTGATTGTGATGCTTTGATAATGTCAAAAGAATCATTTCAATCACTGAGGGAAATCCATCTCATTATCACATCAGAATATTTTTCGTTTTTGTTCTGCTGTATTTAATTGAATGTAATATACACACTGAAATATGTAAAATGAAGCTAAACAGAAAAAAAAAACACTAGGCTAGTGTGTCATGTGCACCTGAAAAGGAAGCATATTGCTAATTAATCCCCAGTAAAATGGATTTCCTGGAAATATTATGTGGATCACTTTATGTGAGCTGCAGGATTTTCCTGGAGACACCAGACATCAGAGTCTTACTCTGGCATCCATCCTCTCACATTTCCCAGGAACTCTGTTGAGACTCCGGGCTGTCCTGCTCTAAAAACAGAAAGAGCCCCAGGGCTCCCTCACTCACGTTTTGAGCCATTTATGCACACTTGCTGTAGGTTTGCATGCTCTTAGACAAAAAAGGTAATTTTTTAATCCCTATAGGTACAATGCACACAAATGTACCCCACCAAGGGTTCATACTGGAAATCAAATAACTATGTATACCTTTTAGGGGACCAAATAGATATAGATAGATGTTCTTCAACAAAAAAGGTTCAAATTTATGCTGTTTTTTCCCTAAATTTTAAGTTGTGATATTAGGAGGCATCTATGTTTGCAAAAAGAAATTAGGAGAAATGGTATTTCAGAGCATTACAGGCATCGCAGAGGCCTAGGTTTGAATCCACACCGATGATAAAGGCTGACCCACCAGTTCATATCCAAGCATATGAATGAATAAGGAATCACCAAGCACTCAGATAAAAAGCAAACATCTTCATTAGCCACTCAAAACATCTCAGCTGCTCTAAACAGTTACGTCACGAGGTTCCATTTCTCATCGTAATCTAATCTTCTGTGAAGCTTAAACAAAGTAAACATTGATCAGGCCAGAGTGTTTAGGGCAGCAAACATAGAAGCCTTTTATCATTTAGATAGAAGCTACAAGTCTCTTCAACAGCCTTTAATCTCTGTCATAAGGAATCAGAACCCTGCTAGTCTGACCGTGAAATCAAACTAATCAGCGATTTACTTGCATTTTATGAAGCTCCAGGTCAAACTGCAGAGACTGTGATGCTTGTTCGCTGTACAAGCAGCTTTTTAAAAATTGATTTTATCTGCTTTTGTAATTCAATTTTCCATTTTTACCTCCAATTATCCTGCTTGGTCACATTTAGGTTGTTTGGCTCGTGAAGCACATTTAGCAGATTGATTTGTCAATTTTAGATAAAATCATCTTGAATAACAGTGAGCTCTTAATTTGAAATAAAGATATGAAGAGCAGAGGGTCAAAATGGTCAAAACTTTAATCAGCGTTTATGAGAGCTGACAGAGCTCTTCTATGGAGAGCCTGTTCTCTTCCTATTAACGCCATTGTATGGACATTAGTTGTAAAGCACCCAAAAGGCACTTGTATGACAGAAGCTAGACAGCTAAAATAATCATTTACACCTGTTTTTACAAAGAAAAGCCCAACTTTGGATATAGTTTTTGCAAACATAGTATTGATCACAAGTCAGAATAGAAATGTAAGAATGCTAATTTTCTTTTTTTCTGCATGGTGATTGATCTGTTAAGGTTTTACAACAGGACATACTCCCTTGAGGGCAGCCATTTCCAAACAGTAAGTATGACAGATGATGGGAATGAAATTAAACTAAAGCACAAGCTTCCATGTGCATAAGAAATAGTAGGTTGCAGAGGTTGGAAATTCTGCTGGTTTGATGTGTGAAATGAAAACGGTGAATGTTCTAAAGTGACTCAAAGTGCTGTGATATCCCTAACACTTATGAAAGGTGTTTTACTAAAGGAACTATATCTTTTGTCTCTAGCCATCATAAAAATATATAATTATGATATAAAATAATGTAAACTGCAAGAAGAAGAAACAATATTACCCCAGGATCTTTATTGTTTAGAGGTGCACCGTGGCTCAGGGGGTTGGGAAGCACATCTGTAACCGAAAGGTCGCCGGTTTCATCCCCGGGCTCTCTGTCCTGGTTGTTGTGTCCTTGGGCAATACACTTTACCCTATTGGTGTTGGACAACTGTAGATTGCCTCCACCAGTGTGTGAGAGTGAGTGAATAGTGTCATTGTAAAGCGGTTTGGGTGCCTTGAAAAGCGCTATATAAATCCAATCCATTATTATAATAATACCCCATTCATTCTGGAGTTAGAGTATATGTAAATATAGATAAGCTAAATGACCCTGCATGCGCTCTGGCTATAGTGGTGATTATTACTTGACATCTTTATTGTTGCACACGACATAAAACTGACAATTTCTGCTGCAACAGCTAGATCATTAAGAAAAGGGCATGACAAAGAAACTTGAATACCACAACAAATTGTTCCCATGTAACTGTTAAATATACTATAAGGTTTTAAACTTTGCAGCCTGGGTTCAGATCTACTCTGTGGAGTTTGCTTGTTCTTCCCTGTGTTTTCTCCGGGTTCTCTATCTTCCTTCCACAGTCTAAAGAAAAGTATGTTAGATTGACTGGTGGCTGTAAATTGGTTGTAGTTGTGAATGTGAGCATGAATAGTTGTCTGTCTTTCTGTGTTGGCCCTGTATTAGAGTGTTGACCTTTCCATGGTGTATCCAACCTCTCCTTCCATGATGCTGTGATAGGCTTCAAACTTCCGCAACCCAGAAAGGGGATAAGTGGAAGAAAATGGATGAATGTTTTTGTTTGCTTTAAAGGTATTTCGCTTGGCTTTCTTTCTTTGGCTCTGATATCCACACCATGAAGCTTGAAGCTTTTATATCATCTTATCCAGGTAACTTCAGGGTTAATCAAGGGCTTTCTGTTCTACAAAGATGATTCACTTCTTACCAGGGTATATCGCCATGATAACCTTATGCAGTGAAGCTATACAGCTTTGCGGCAGGTTGTGTTCCCGATTAGAAATCAACAGGTACAAAATTACTACCCGAAAATAGCATAATTATCGTGCAAGATCCCTCAGACCTCTAGGTACAAATTTAATGAAATGATTGATTATAACCCAGCAGATTCTCCTGTGTCTTAATGCTAAAGTTGTGATATTGATAAGTCTATAAAGGTACAGAGTTGCCATTTGTGCTGGCTTTCTTTCCCCGCTACAAATACACTAAATACACTTAGTAGTTCTTTTTCACTCTTACCAACTAGCAGCTAGTTGCTAGTTGGTAAGAGCAACTAGCTGCTAGTTGCTCTTACCAATAAAAAACAAAAAAACAACAACAACAGGGGACCCCCTTGTGAAATAAATGCAGCAACTTTTATGCTTGAAATTTGTTTTCAAATTCTTTTTAATAAATGAAGAATTAAAAGAACATCTTTAACAACAGACATATGTTCTTTTGCAAAGAGAAAAATATAAGACAAATATGATATACAGAAGTCAAATGCCATAAATGTAATTAGACTTTTATTTTGAAAATGTGGTGATTTGATTGAACAATAATTACATGAATGCATAGAACTGCTCTATTAAATCTAAACATCAAATCTAAGATGATAATTGTAAAATGTTTTTTCTGAGCCACTCTAATAAGCCCTTTCAATCTAAAAATGAGGTCACATTCTTACTTTTAAAGGAGGAAATAAACCTGGCAGAAATTAAGTTTGCTTGGTTATCCACATTTCCACAGAAGGCCGAGAAGACACCCGACCTGTTATATACAATCTCTGACATGTTTTACTTTATAAATATATCAGAATGGGATCAGTAAACTAAAACTAAGACACGATGCTGCAGCGGGTGGATGTGAAGGTTAGGTTCTCACCCTGGTGACAAAGACCTCAGCTCATCGTCTTGAACGACAGCTGCAGCCCCATTGAGACAGATAGATGTGCAACCTTTAGAAGAAGATGGTGCAGAATCATAAATGAGAGCACAGGGAAGACTGAGTGAGTTACAGTTATCACTGCTGTCACTTCAATCTGGGGAGGAAGCCAGCTGGCATTAGTGTGTGATTTCCAGTCCTGACCACGGGAGCGCTGAGCAGTTATTTAGCTCCAAGGCAACAGGGCCACTTAAGAGGATTGGGATTATTTTCTTTAAAGTTACAAAAGCCACTCTGCCAGTTAATGCCACAATTTCTGATTTTACATGAATCAAAATAATGACAATAGCCTCTTTGTGAGAAAAATGATTTTTTTTAGTACTTTAAATATCGTCAATTAACTCATATTTGAAACTCATATTTGCAGGTGCCAGAAAATATAGATAACTAATTTTCCTTTGCTCCTCATTTAGTGTTTTTGCAAAGGTTTTTTTGTAGAAAATGGAAGAAGATCTCTTGAATCAATCTTGAGAGATGTCTCTGACTCTTGGAAAACATAATAAAAAACAGGTACAAAGACATCCGTTCATAGTCTCAGCTGGAGCTGCCTCTGCTGATCACAGACTCTGACTCTGATTACATCAATGCCAGCCTCATCAAGGGGGCGACAGAAGACCGCAAGTTCATCATCTGTCAGCGGCCCAACAGCTCCACGGTGACTGATTTATGGAGGATGATCTGACTGTACAATGCCAAGATGATAGTCGTGGCCTGCAGAGAGTTAGAGCAAAAATGGAGAGTGTGCCTCGGTTGCAGCTCATCCCAGACACATCCCAATGACGATATGGTGGCGAAAACACTGACTGTTACAAACAAGCAGGCCAGCAGATTGCAACATCCCCTATAAGACTGCTGGAGTCCTAGATCTGCTGAACAGAGCCAGAAACAACTGACTACATCCATGAATTTCTGCTTACCAAGCAGATCATGTTGGAGTTCAGCATGATGAACATCGTCCCGGAGTTTAGGAGGTAGAGCTGAAGAAACCAGAGAAGTCAAAACAGCTGCTTCACAGCACACTGTGCTCAACGAGCCCAAACACATGCTAGGTCCCACCTCTTCAGATGGAGCCACGCCCAGATCTAATGGTGCAAGCAGGATGCTGCCCGCCTCCCATTACTATGACAACAATCCCAAAGGAGTAGTGGCTGCTCCCATCTACAGCACCATTGAACCCAGAACTGAGCTGCACAGTTTGTCACACTCAGCCACTATCACCTGGTTTCAGCTGAACAACCTTCACTGGATGATAACAATTATAAGGATTTATCCTCTTCACTCTCAGATGTGATTAGCTTCTGTTTGCCTGGACTGATACCATCCAGAACTTTCCTTCCCAGTTCTTCACACATGGATGCTTTCAAAGACCTACTTGACCTCAAACTGAAATGCTCTCAGGTTTAACTATTGGGTTCAGAAGCCCAGAGGACCCAGACATCCTCTACCTGAGGGGAATCGACTGGAGAGATTAACTGGTTGAACTTTAATTCAATTTTGTTTTATTTATATGGCTCCAAATCACAATAACAGTTGCCTTAAGACGTTTTATATTGTAAAGACCCTACAATAGTAAAAAAAAAAAACCCAGAGAAGACTCCAACAATTATATGACCCCCTATGAGCAAGAGTGTTGGCGGCAGTGGAAAGGAAAAACTCCTTTGTAACAGGAAGAAACCTCAGGATGCTGAACCCTGAGCCACTAAAAGCACCTGTATAGGTGACTGAGGCTTGTGGTAAGAAAGTGCTTTGTGCTTCTTAAATAGAGAATAAGTATTAGTCCATTTCATTATATGCAAAGAAATAAATAATAAAAATAACCTAAACAAAACTCTGTATGCTTAAATCAAATCCTGTATGATAAACCTAAACTAGACAGCATAAAAACATGAATTCCTATATTCTCACAGAGTTCCTAATAAAATAGCAAGACAAAACCTTCAGGCTGGCAAGGCTCTGATATAAATGTATTTCACTGGAGTTATGTTGTAGTGTCAGATGAGTCTTGCGTCTCTCTTGACCTGCAGTCACACCTACACATCCTGACACTGTCACGACAGCTCTGTCTCGTCTCCCTGTGGTGATGGACGGCCAGAACACAAACCCAATTCTCTCTGGTGCCCTGAATCCGCTCAGCATTCAGAGACTCCGTGTCGCTGAGACGCTGAGATCATCCCTCTTGCTGTTTGAGGATTTATGCCCAGTTTTTCTGCTTTTCAGTCGAGTTTTTTCCTTCACGTTTTGCCGTGAGAGAGTTAAGAGCAGCAGACGTATGGGCTGTCATGTTCCTGCACTGTCACAACTTGAGGTGCTATTATAAATGCTGTCACGCACAACTGCAGTGTGAGCTTGCATCTCGTGTCAAGGAGCTCACACACCGACGCCGCTTGTCTTGGCATTTCTTAGAGTCACCACATGCCAGCTATGGAGGCGTCAAGTGGGTGGAAAATGTCAGGTTTTTGTAACCTTTATTTAAGTTGGGAAAAGGTGATGCAACAGCAATAAAATGTTGCTTCAGATTCAGACCAGGGAGATGCCAAATGAAACCTTGAAGATTGTGCATTAATAAAGAACCCATTAAAATGAGCTGCAAAGAGCTCCTGATTATTTTCCCCACACATCCACATATTTCTGGACAGTTTAGGATTTTAAAGGACTTTAAAATCACAAGCAAACATTTCAAAAATCATCTATATTGAAGCTTCAGAGTATCGTTTAGCTACTCTTTTCCCCTCGGGGAGTTCAGATGTCAGGCTGAGAGGCAGTACAGCACCACTGTGGGCGAGATGTGATACATAAAGCAGCAGCACAGTAGCCAAAAGTTTCTTGTTTTGTCCTGTTTAAACATCCTACACTGCAGGTTTCCTTCAGCGGGATGTGTTAACTATAATATGGAGAAATCCACCACTGTGTGTTGTACCCATAATGCACATTTAATGTACACATTAAACAGCATGCACTATATAGGCAGAGTATAAAAAGGATGAAAATGAGAACAAGATGAAAGGGGTGCACTGTCATAATGTTGTATCACTGTGACAAATAATTCACAATCTTTTTGATCTTTCCTTATATTCCAGTAGTCTTTAAAGTGCCACTAACCATCAGCTAAATCCTGTTACACCAATTCACAGCTCACTGATCGTAACTTTCCCCGTAAGTCCCCGTTGCTGCGATGCAACGTGCCAGGGTAAAAAACGTTAAGGGGTCCACCACTGGCTGTAGCTCCACAAAGACCGTGGTGTGCGCCACATGATGTGATGTCAAACACCAGCATAAAAACTCCATATGTGATTCGAGCACAGTTAACTGAAGATATCATTGAGGAAGCCTGTACTAAACACATAAATCTGGGGTTTTGTCAGATAACTTTGAGCCTTCTGTCAGTAACAAGCAGATTACAATATTCTGTGTCCTGTTCATGGTTCGGCTTGGGTGTCTCAGGTTTCTGTTCTTTCGTTCTCTTGTCAACCTCTTTGCTCTTAGACTGAGGTGGAGTGCTGGGCTGGCACCGAGTCTCTGATCCACCCTTGGGTGGAGCCTTCCTGCCTTGGCCAACATTTTCCTTATGGTGAAAGCAATTGGTGGGTATTTGTAGGCTTAAAGATGCAAATCAAACACTCCTATGGAATGTGAGCTCATTCAGGCCTTTCTTCCGTTCCATTTTCACCTTGATCATCTGCAAAGGGAAGTTTTCCTTGCTGTCAATCTGCAAGGAATACTGTTGCAATCAAAAGCTGCAATAATAGTCCACTTACCTGATCCACAGCTAATTTTCTCCATGGGGGCACTAGGGGTGAGATTTTACTCAGTTCAGAAACAAGTCTCTAACCAGAACCACCTTTTTCAATAAACACTTTAAAACTGCTTGAGTTTGTTCCTTGAGTCCAGTTTAAACCACAGTGAAAGAAACCAGTTATAAAAAGGTTTCTCAAGAGTCTGAGTATTCTTCAGACTAACCCACAGGGAAGTCTTGAGTATGTGATGATTGCTTTGTGTGATTGGCTGCTTAGTTCTTCACCTTATTGTTACACTGGAACTCCAGTACAGGGTCCAGTTTAGTGTTCCTATTAAAATAGTGTCAATGTGACACCTTTATGCTGTGAAGTGGCGCTATATAAGAAAAACCCTTTCTGTATTGTATCACGGTTCGGATGACAGTTACACTTACATACTGTGTGGTGACATCAGGATCCAAAACATTGGATTGTGCACCACTGCCACAATCAAAGTTGGCGGTGGTGCCGCCACCTTGGATTGTGAAATCAGGGTTCTCCGTCTTTCTTGTCATGTTTAGGCAAAGTTATAACCCTGGATTCAGATTCAGCTCACCAGGCATGGTTGAATAAGGTTCACTGAATGGCAGAAAATGGTGAATGGCGAGTGAGCCAGGTGAAGGTAAATACAAGGCCCTCTTTGAGTTGTGCTGGTAAGAAAGAGGCTTTGGAGGGGTTACCCGAGAACAGGCAAGTTTCCAAGTTGCTGAGAGGAACAGCAGTGGAGAGTGGGCAGACAGGTGAGTTACTGCATTGCTCTTCTCTTCAGAGGTTTGGGAATCCAGATTCAGAGGTAAGTGTCTACCAGTGTGTACCAAATTTGTCAAAAGAACAGGTTCAGTGACGAACAGGATTGTTAGGTCAAACTCAAAGTTGGGGATATTTTGTGCATTAAATAAAAGAGCCCAACTGCAAGAGTTTTCTTTTGAGAGTTTTATTCTTACAAGAAGGAATTCAGTCCACACAGAGTATACAGCAGTGTAGTGAGGAATTCACAAGAACAGAGGAAACAGACCCTCCACACACAGGGTCACAATACATGTTTATTACCCTGTTGCCAGGCAAAAATCCAGTCACCCTACACAGATCAAACACAGGATATATGTAGCAGATAGGCCAAACAAGTCTTATCTGTCCACATCCACTTTTCGGAGTAAATGGTAAATGGCCTGTATTTATATAGCGCTTTACTAGTCCCTAAGGACCCCAAAGCGGTTTACATATCCAGTCATCCACCCATTCACACACTGGTGATGGCGAGCTACATTGTAGCCACCCTGGGAGAGGAGGCAAGGCTGCCGGACACTGGCGCCACTGGGTCCTCTGACCACCACCAGTAGGCAACGGGTGAAGTGTCTTGCCCAAGGACACAACGACCGAGACTGTGCAAGCCGGGGCTCGAACCGGCAACCTTCCGATTACAAGGAAGGTTGCTCCACTCCCACTGTGGAGTGGGAATGGGGTTGCTCCAGTTGATGCAGAACCGTATTTTTTAAATTGATAACCAGATATAAACATTGTAACAATTATTCCAATACTGAGCAGTGAACCTCGTTTCATTGTCAGAGCATCAAACAGCACAGTTTTGTCAAACCCTAACAAACCAATCAGCTGAGACTGAGAGTAAAAGGTGAGTGTAAAATGACAAGCAATCACAAGACACAAGATGTCGCACATAAAAATGATAAATGTGATCTTGACCTTGAGCAGACTTTGGCCCCATTAGGTCATCATCGATGTGGGTTTCACTACATTCTGACCACTATTCTAGGAGGAGTGCTGGTTAATGAAGCAGGACAAGAACCCAAATCTCTAAGTTCACGCTCATGTAATTTGCACCAGTGTTGCCTAGCCTTCCTACTTTTAAAACAAGTTTTAAACACTAATTTTATCTTAATGATGACCATTTAAATGAAATTTATAGATGAAAGTAAAGGTGTGAAAAACAGTCACTCAGAATTTCACACTGTCTGACACGGAGACACCTAATTGGGCTAAAATCAACAAGTCGGACTGTCACATTTTTCAGTGAACATTGTCTCAGTTTTGTGCACTGAAAATAATTTGACAGATGCTATGACACAGATCTACTCGGGGTGGTTTCAGACTCATGTCCAGCTTACTTTCTATATCCAAGTCTTGGAGACAGCCAAGAAACTTAAGGTCCATGCTGCATCACATTTATGTCCTTATTTTGATATT